AACATATAACAATACACAGATAGTCAGAATCATTCTGATTACTTACATCTCATATTTATGTACAAACGATCCCTGAATCAATGGAAGGGTCCTCGCAAAATCCTGTGTACCCTTGTCAGCAAAGCCGCCATTTTGTAAGAAATCGGTCAGCGGTAGTGATGTCATACGTCAACATTGTTCTACATATTAGGCAATTTCTTTGAGGTGAAGGTCGGTTGAACAAGAGTAAACACAATCGCGATATCCTTCCGATTACACTGTCAGTATTATGGTGTATATTTTGCGTATAGTTCAAATACTTTTTCATGAAACTGACTTCAGTATCTACATTTAGCCTTGTTCAATATCATATCATACGTGCATATAGGGTTTACGGTGTTTTATTCTTTGAAAGTTTTTGATTGTTTGAATCATATTTACATAAGAAATTGACATATTTAGTGCAATACACCATATTCTAAACCTTTACACAAGTGTTAGAAGATCAAACGTAGCCATAACTGCAACTACTTTAGTTCCTATGATGTACAATATTCAATATATTTGGACTAATAGTGCAATTTCATATGAAGAGGTTAATGAACGGTGATTTAATTTCAACCTTATATGTAAAACTGATAATATTAATGACAATGATTTATATATGGTATGAAATGTATATGCACACATATTTAAAGGAATTGTCTTGTTCATTGCATAATTTTGTGTTGTTTTATAGACAAAAGAATGATGCATATTGATCGGCAAGGCGCGTTTGTTGGAAACGTTTTATGATTCTCTATCATTGTTTTCGATAATATATTCAATTCATATTCGATTAAATAATAGTGTGATGACAGGTTATCAAACTCTAACTACATTTATAGGAAAATTGTTGAAAAATATATATACCATCTCATGTGTTAATTCGGACAAATCTTACATCCATATTCTAATATATAGTTCCATATATAAAAAGCTATCTTTTTTCATCTTTCATTACATACGTATGAAGAGAAATAGCTACATAATCATAAACAAACAAAATTCTTATCCCAAACAAAATATTCGGGTGTTGTGAAATATTATTTTTATTTACGTTAAATTGATGCCAAACAGGTTCGCCTGTTGTTCACAATAAGATACCCTGTCAAACCGTCTAATTGTTGATATATTCAGGACACTATTTAAATGGAAAAATCAGTCATTTTATGTTTTGTCTAAAGAGTGTTAAATTCTGACATAGAAGTCTAGACCTTTTATACAATTAATGGAAATTAAGTGAGATATATACTAATCAGCATACCAATGTCGTCTTTTTCCGACGTTGCAAAATGCATAAAACAAGCAATGACGTCAACTAAAATGTTGGATTATTTTCAGCAATTTCGTTACATTTGAAGATATGGCTAGTACTCTGGTAATAACGATGCAAAATTAGTCAAATTACATCTATACAAACAGGAGAATATGGGAATCTAAGAACTAACTTATATATCGGATAGGGCCATTCAAATCGCTATTACGTGCTTTCACATGTAATACGTTGTCATCTTTTCTTATAAATTGTGAAACTACCAAACTGCATCCGCTCACATTGGGGAACTTTGAATTGGAATAGTTTGGTTCACCATGAACATAAAATAACGAAAATATAGCGTCCGTATCCACAACAAATTCTCTCCAAGTGATCTGAGTTACATTGACCTAGTGTTACGTATAACGGAGTTATGCCCCCTTATCATTATACGTGTATGACCTCTCTGTCGTCGTTTGACGTCATAGAAGAAAATCCATTTTTGACATTTATTGCGAGTCATTTTTAATGTTGAGCGTATAACGTTATGCACAAGCACATAAACCCAATTCATATACACTTATGTCGTTCAGATATCACGCTGTATTTTCTTCGCTCACACATTCCGTAAAGATGCCACATTAAAAAATTCGTAGCGCAGTGTTTTTATCGGCGCGCGATAAAAAGCGGAGAAATTTACTGTTTTTTAACGCATAACAAACTTAGGACAACATTTAGCAAGGTCTATTTCTCAATGCCAAGGTAGTTGCACTTATATTTATACCAACGGATAGGAAATTTAATATTCTACATTTCTGTGTAATTTTATAGCCGTACGTAGATCCAGGACCAGGCGAGCGCAATTCTCGCTTTTCAAAGCGTATGAAAATGTGCGCCTGAAAAAAACCTCGGCATCAAGGGGGTTAAAGGGCCACTGATGCAGAGCGCTTAATGTTTCCAGCCAACAGTCTAATTACGAAACCTAGCTGCAAACTGGTCAGCCCCTGCTCCCTCGACCGTACGGACACAGGGACTTGGCTACTGTCCACCTTGGCAGAATTTCTTCAACCTAATCAGTGGGACATTAGAAAGGGCGGATGCCCATCAGATGCCGTTATTTGAAAATATCCCTGGTAGTTCTTGTTTGATTGTAATAAAGTATCCCAGCAGTGTAGGCATTTTCAGATTTACAGTAGTTTGGATGGTATAGTGACTGATCCAATTTGATCCTATTTCTGTGTTTTTTACCTCGATATTTAATCATGTAAAAATATGATGTCTGTTACGTATGCTATGATATCAAAACACACATTTGATATATTTGAATCCATAAACTAAACAACCCCACTTTGCCATTGCTAAAAAAAATCTGAAATTGTACTTAGGTACATAGGTATATACAGTTTCTAAAAAAGTACACAGCAAATGTTTATATATATTTCTTATGTAACAATGAAGTTCGATCCGTTCGTATCGTCAAAAACAGTGTCGGCCCATAAGGGTTTTTTCAGACAATCAAACTTGCATGCAATACAGCGATAACTACTCTCTTGCTGTAACCCTTGTTTGGTGGTAAATCTGCACGTTATTTGTCATCATTCACTTGATGGTCAGTTAATGAATTTATAGCAGGTATAATTAGTGATAACACCACTCAGATTACCCGACAAAGGTTCACATTTGGCATTCCTTGTGTCTGGAGTAAATACTCATCATTATAAATGGAGGTCTGATGTGGCAAATGTATTACATCTTATGTAATATGCGCATGGAAGTGCAGCAAGAGGAATCATCAGCTGAGTTTCAAAACAAACATCGATCAAAGGATTAGCCGATAACACGCTGATTGATTAATTGCTTTTATCCTGCACAGAGGATTTGTCAAAAGGTAGTGTTTATGTATGTAGATTCACTAATCTATGCTGAATACACCCTGTCATAAAGTTTCTTTGTAGAAATAACATCCTTCCTTCAAAAGATTAACCGCCAAAACCTTGATTGGTAGCTCATTATTGGCTTACTAATGGCAGACATCATGCAATTACTTGCCAGGTGTGCTATCTTGGGTGACCAATGGGATACACCAATGTGAAAAACCTGAAACGATAGATCACTTTTTCGCATATTAGACCGTAAAAAGACACATGACATGGAACAGGATTCTTTGTCAGCTGCAGATGAATGGCATCTCATTACTTTATGTGGATATTGATGGATACATTCCCCTAACAAGGTAATAGCCTGATATTGTTGCTATAACTTTAGTCTGTTTTAATTTTAATATTTGCATTTTGTTTTAATCTATTTGTTATGGCATTCAACAGAATCATTTTCTTTTGCCGTGAAAGGTAATGAGACAGAGAACATACACTAGATCGCACTTAGGGCGTGTGTGTGAAATATGATACACGTCTAGATATTACAGTCATGTTATAAATTCACTAAGTATAAGCAGATCGTGTGCATTTTATTAAGTTCCAAAATGCATACAAATATGATAAGAAACTAATTAGGATTATAAGACAAAATATAAAGACGTACATTGACTTCTTTATTTCAGTCCTAACATTTTTTACCACTGGCAGATGGTTAAACTTAAAATGTTTTCATTTGTTATCAAAATAATGCCATTTACTACAACATTCAGATTGACTAGTAGTGAACCCAAGCTCACTACTCTCCCCAAGACTCTCCATGTACTTAGTTAACCTTACTTTCAAACAATGCTATTATATCAGGCTTCTCGACAAATTCAAGGTCAAACTATTTCTTAAATCAAATTCTACATCCATTTATGTTAACATTTTCATAAAGTCAACATTACTATTAAATCAAAATTTTACATCAAAATCAGCATTTTTATCAAAGTGAATATTTTTTTATAAGAAACCAAATTATTCATCACAGTCTACATAATTTTACAACAACATCAAGATTATCGAGTAAAACAGATTTCATCTTTGTTCATCTATACGTTTTCTATCAATTACGCATGGTTGTGGCACAGCAGAGGTAACGAACCAGTCATGAATTCTGGGATATCATCCGGGTACTCACGGGAGAAAACAATAACAAAAGCAACAACCAGTCCACGGAAATTGCTCTGCATCAGTGGGCCTTTAACACGCATGATCACTCCTGTGAAGAATGAAGCGTCCATGTATGTCATTCATATCATTCCCTAATTATCTTTTTCTGTAAATCATGCCCAGCTTTGTCCATCAAAACAAACACCAAATTGAGCATTATGATGACGTACATTGCAAATACAGATAAAAGTATTGTGCTAATTGGATAAGGTAACATTTCCACTAAGATCAGGTAACATTTATATCTTGTTTGAGTGGCATTTAGAAGTTGGTGTGATGAACAACGAGGGTGTCCTCAAACATCTGTCACGTAACAGGGTGTCCTCAAACATCTGTCATGTAACAGGGTGTCCTCAGACATCTGTGCCATGTAACAGGGTATCTTCAGACATCTGTGTCATGTATTACAGGGTGTCCTCAGACATCTGTGTCATGTAACAGGGTGTCCTCAAACATCTGTCACATAACAGGGTGTCCTCAGACATCTGTGTCATGTAACAAGGTGTCTTTAGACATCTGTGTCATGTAACAGGGTGTCTTCAGACATCTATCTTGGGTAACATACAATGGATGTCATTATTGATAATTTTTATTTCATTGCTAATCATAACAAACTCATGTGTTTTATGTGACAGGTGCCGTCCGAGATACTAGCGGCTCTGACTATGTTCCACCAGTAGTGTCCCAAAACCAAGGATGTCTGGGTGATACAGACAGCTCACAGCTATAACTGTTTCTCCAAGATGCTAGCGCCGCACTGAGGTGCCACATGTGTTGTATGCAGGATCAGCATGTCCAATGTGAGAAACCAATGTGTACTTGTCATACTAGAGAACTCCCTTCCCAACGTGGCTGCAAAGTGTTCAGTCCCTTTCTGGTGTCCCAAGATTTGACTGGACCATTGATAACAGAGACATAAAACTTCACTGTCAGTCGCTGTGTCTTCTATCCTGAAATATGAAGTGATTTCATGTTTTTAGAGAATGTGTCAAGTAACTTTGACAAGAGGGTATATCTGAATTGTTTTGTCAGCCTTTCTGAAATTTTGATGGATGACAAAAGAGACACATGGATAATAACTCCTTTAATATACTGTTATGGTGATGTCTCCGTAATGATCCTTACACTATTGTCAATCTGGACTGTTTTGTCTACTGTGAGGTTGTAGAATTGTTTCCACCTTGGTCCATGTTCTATTTATGAAGTGATACAGTCATGGTTTGTTTCAGTCGGGCTCGAACCCTGCCCCTACTGGTGGTGAGAGTGAGCTGGCCCTCCCTGTGGCCGCCATCGTGTGTCTGGCCGTCGTCGGCTACGTGGTGCTGATCGTCATCATCGTTGTTGTCAGATACTTCCTCGTGGTCAGTGCTCCCTACTTCCTACTTCCAGTCTCCATGTTGACATGTCAGTTACGTGTGAGATCCAGTATCTCTCAGCAGTATTCAGTGTATCTCTATTTCAAGACTCATTATTAAATGCTGCTCACCAATTCATTAGGATAATCAGATATGCCATTCTATTTAAATGTACGCTTGACATATTTTGAGACATAGTCTTGTGTGTCTTGTAAACATTACATCACCATTCCCCTGATCCAGAGGGGAGTAGTAGGTGTCAGTAAGTGGCAACCACAGAATGTAGTGTGTACAAAACACTGTCAGTAGACTCAGTACCCAGTGGGAAGTTAGTCCCATATTTCACAGGTTGTGTTATTTATCAGTGATTCATGTGATTCTGGAGTTATCTTATATACCTGCTATCTAGGAGCTGTGTATATCTCAGTGGTCCTGCAGTGAGTGAGTGAGTTTAGTTTTACACGACACTCAGCAATATTCCAGCTATATGATGGCGGTCTGTAAATAATGAAGTCTAGACCAGACAATCCAGTGATCAACAGCATGAGCATCGATGTACACAATTGGGATGTGATGACGTGTCAACCAAGTCAGCGAGCCTGACCACCTGACCATGTTAGTCGCCTCTTACGCCAAGCATGGGTTACTGAAGATCAATTCTAACCCGGATCTTCATGGATGCAGTGGTCCAGGAGTTGTGTTATATATCAGCGGTCCTGGAGCTGTGTTATATAGTATGACCAGAAATTATTGAGAATTTTAGGAATATGTTTAATTGGATTTCTAGTATAAACAACCTTGACCAGCTATCAAGTGCTTTGTTTCATTCAAGAGAGACAACTTCGTTAATCCTTTTTCGTTAGTTTGTGAAGAGTTATCCCCCTTTGTTTACTTGCTAGCAGACGACATTTTCAGTGATCCTCAGTATGGATGATGTAGAGAAGAGGAAGTTGATTTTAGAGTATTTTAACAAGGACATCAGATCAGCTAAAGTGATTTCAAGTAGAACAGGCATCCCTTTGTCCACTGTTTATCGTGTTTTGAAAAATATTGCAAATGGATATGGCATTGAGCACCAGGGAGGCGCAGGTAGGCCCAGAAAATTGACTGTCGGTGACAGGAGGCAGCTTGGTATTCTTGTTTCTAAAAACAAACGAAGGAGTTTAGAAAAACTTAAGGCTGAATATGATTGATAGAGGAACTGTGGCTGTCTGTAAGGAGACAATTAGAACTGAGCTGCATCCAATGGGTTTGCGGAAAAGTCGAGGAATTCCATCATCGATCATGAAACCTGAACAAAAGGAGCGAAGGTTGAACTGGTGCTTACAGCATAGAAATTTTAACTGGGACAATATGATTTTCTCAGATGAAAGTTCTGTGTGGCTGTTTCCTAATACACTGAAATTCTGGACCAAACAAACTGAAAAACCTTTGTATCAGCGCCTAAAGTACAGTCCGAAATGTAATGTGTGGGGCGGCATATCTGTGTTAGGGGCAACGCCCCTCTGTGTATTTGAAGGGAATATGAACAGTGAGCGGTACACAGATATTCACATGTTCTATGGAAAATTTTTGGATTTTCCAGCAGGACAATGACCCAAACCATCGTTCAAAGCATTCACGGACCAGGTTTTGGACCCAATATATGACATTATTAGATTGGCCAAGCTATAGCCCTGACCTAAATCCAATAAAAAATGTTTGGGGACTTATGAAGGAAAGTGTCAATAAAAAAAATCGGACAAATATTGCTGAAATGAAAGAAGAGGTGGTCCGATATTGGGACAGCATGGACCACGACTTTCTAACTTCTTTGATCAGTAGTATACCCCGCCGCATTGAAGCCTGCATTGCTGCCCATGGTGACTTGACAAAATACTAACTGTTCACCTGTCTTTGAATCTGGAGTTCTGTTCTGCTAATATTCACATTAATACGTGAGTAATGAGTGAAATAAATTATAAAAATTACAATCTTTAAATTCTCAATAATTTCTGGTTGTACAGTGTATCAGTGATCTTAGTGATGTGTTATATATAAGTGGTCCTGGAGCTGTGTTATATACCAGTGATATTAGCAATGTGTTATATATATGTGGTCCTGGAGCTGTGTTATATATCAGTGGTCCTTGAGCTGTGTTATATATAAGTGGTCCTGGAGCTGTGTTATATATCAATGATCTTAGCGATGTATTATATATATGTGGTCCTGGAGCTGTGTTATATACCAGTGATCTGAGCGGTGTGTTTTACATAAGTGGTCCTGGAGCTGTGTTATATATCAGTGGTCCTGGAGCTGTGTTATATACCAGTGATCTGAGCGGTGTGTTTTACATAAGTGGTCCTGGACCTGTGTTATATATCAGTGGTCCTGGAGCTGTGTTATATACCAATGATCTGAGCGGTGTGTTTTACATAAGTGGTCCTCGAGCTGTGTTATATATCAGTGGTCCTGGAGCTGTGTTATATACCAGTGATCTTAGTGATGTGTTTTACATTATAGGTCCTGGAGCTGTGTTATATGTCAGTGGTCCTGGAGCTGTGTTATATATCAGTGGTAGTGTTTCCCCAAGGCATATTTGGCAGGGCGCAGCGCCCTGCCCTTTATATTCAGCGCCCTGTCATTGTGACAGACCATAGGAACAGGCTGAAAGTAAATAACTGCACCAAGCTACTTATGGTCAGCATGAATGCTAAGTCTTCTAATGACATTGACTTGAGGAAGTGTGTGGCCAAGTTCTTGGCACGAAAGAAGCGGAGAATATGGACGAATAATTTTATGAACTTTGCATCAAAGCATGCCAAACAGACCCAAATTATGTCATCCACAGTAAATTATTGAACCCTTAATTGTTGTGCCTTTTTTGTTTGCTGAATACCCTTTTGAATTTTAAAGTGCCCTTTTTTCTCTGAGTCTACCCTGCCCTTTCATAATCCTGGGGGAAACACTAAGTGGTCCTGGATTGTGTTATATACCAGTGATCTTAGTGATGTGTTATATATAAGTGGTCCTGGAGCTGTGTTATATATAAGTGGTCCTGGAGCTGTGTTATATATAAGTGGTCCTGGAGCTGTGTTATATACCAGTGATCTTAGTGATGTGTTATATATAAGTGGTCCTGGAGCTGTGTTATATATAAGTGGTCCTGGAGCTGTGTTATATATAAGTGGTCCTGGAGCTGTGTTATATACCAGTGATCTTAGTGATGTGTTATATATAAGTGGTCCTGGAGCTGTGTTATATATAAGTGGTCCTGGAGCTGTGTTATATATAAATGGTCCTAGAGCTGTGTTATATACCAGTGATCTTAGTGATGTGTTATATATAAGTGGTCCTGGAGCTGTGTTATATATCAGTGGTCCTGGAGCTGTGTTATATACCAGTGATCTGAGCGGTTTGTTTTACATAAGTGGTCCTGGAGCTGTGTTATATATAAATGGTCCTGGAGCTGTGTTATATACCAGTGATCTTAGTGATGTGTTATATATAAGTGGTCCTGGAGTTGTGTTATATATCAGTGGTCCTGGAGCTGTGTTCTATACCAGTGATCTGAGCGGTGTGTTTTACATAAGTGGTCCTGGAGCTGTGTTATATATAAATGGTCCTGGAGCTGTGTTATATACCAGTGATCTTAGTGATGTGTTTTACATAAGTGGTCCTCGAGCTGTGTTATATGTCAGTGGTCCTGGAGCTGTGTTATATACCAGTGATCTTAGTGATGTGTTTTACATAACTGGTCCTGGAGCTGTGTTATATGTCAGTGGTCCTGGAGCTGTGTTATATACCAGTGATCTGAGCGGTGTGTTTTACATAAGTGGTCCTGGAGCTGTGTTATATATAAATGGTCCTGGAGCTGTGTTATATACCAGTGATCTTAGTGATGTGTTATATATCAGTGGTCCTGGAGCTGTGTTATATATCAGTGGTCCTGGAGCTGTGTTCTATACCAGTGATCTGAGCGGTGTGTTTTACATAAGTGGTCCTGGAGCTGTGTTATATATAAATGGTCCTAGAGCTGTGTTATATATCAGTGATCTTAGTGATGTGTTTTACATAAGTGGTCCTGGAGCTGGGTTATATATTAGTGGTCCTGGAGCTGTGTTATATATCAGTGGTCCTGGATTGTGTTATATACCAGTGATCTTAGTGATGTGTTATATATAAGTGGTCCTCGAGCTGTGTTATATATCAGTGGTCCTGTAGCTGTGTTATATACCAGTGATCTGAGCGGTGTGTTTTACATAAGTGGTCCTGGAGCTGTGTTATATATCAGTGGTCCTTGATTGTGTTATATACCAGTGATCTGAGCGGTGTGTTTTACATAAGTGGTCCTGGAGCTGTGTTATATACCAGTGATCTTAGTGATGTGTTTTACATTATAGGTCCTGGAGCTGTGTTATATATCAGTGGTCCTGGAGCTGTGTTATATATCAGTGGTAGTGTTTCCCCAAGGCATATTTGGCAGGGCGCAGCGCCCTGCCCTTTATATTCAGCGCCCTGTCATTGTGACAGACCATAGGAACAGGCTGAAAGTAAATAACTGCACCAAGCTACTTATGGTCAGCATGAATGCTAAGTCTTCTAATGACATTGACTTGTGTTATATAAATGTGGTCCTGGAGCTGTGTTATATATCAGTGATCCTTGAGCTGTGTTATATATAAGTGGTCCTGGAGCTGTGTTATATATCAATGATCTTAGCGATGTATTATATATATGTGGTCCTGGAGCTGTGTTATATATCAGTGGTCCTGGATTGTGTTATATACCAGTGATCTTAGTGATGTGTTATATATAAGTGGTCCTCGAACTGTGTTATATATCAGTGGTCCTGTAGCTGTGTTATATACCAGTGATCTGAGCGGTGTGTTATATATAAGTGGTCCTCAAGCTGTGTTATATATCAGTGGTCCTGGAGCTGTTATATATATGTGGTCCTGGAGCTGTGTTATATATAGTGGTCCTGGAGCTGTTATATATAGTGGTCCTGGAGCTGTGTTATATATAGTGGTCCTGGAGCTGTGTTATATATAGTGGTCCTGGAGCTGTGTTATATAGCAGTGGTCCTGGAGCTGTGTTATATATAGTGGTCCTGGAGCTGTGTTATATAGCAGTGGTCCTGGAGCTGTATAATATGTCACTGGTTCTGAAGATGTGTGTTATATCAGTGGTCCTGGAGCTGTTTTATATCAGTGGTCCAGGAACTGTGTTACGTGAAAAGCGCAAAGCGCGAAAATAAAACCTGCGCGAAATATACTACGTTTACAGTATATATCATTGGTCCATGTGTTGTTTTATATATTAGTGATCCTGGAGCTGTGATTATCAGTGGTCCAGGGACAGTTTTAGATATCGTTGGTCTAGGAGTTGTGCAGTATGTCCTTCTGAATAAGATGCATGTGTTTGTATGTGTTTCAGTCGCGGGGTATATGTGAGTGTGGGTCGTGGTGCGCCAAGACCGATGAGGATGCACAGAGCTGCGGGTGTTGTGCTGAGTTGGCAGAATGTTGTAACTGCTGCAAGAGTCCCAACATGACGTCATGTCTCGACTCCATTTGCCCCAACAGAAAGGTAGGTATTGTTGCAAGGGCTTTGCAATTTGAAATGCAGAGGTTAACACTCAAATCAGCAGATACAGAACTAAAGTGTGATGTCTGTGAATGATCACACAAGATCAATGAATTATCAGAAATATAGTTGTAGCCAACAGTTTTAGTTTTACAATCAAACAAGGCAATATATTGGGTTAAATAGGTGGATTCCAGCAGTGATAAATAACATGCCCTGTGATGTGTTTGAGAACTCATTCCGAATTTTGTAGCAGTCAGATGACTTGAAGCAGCCTCTCTTGAATCCGGGAGAGTGTTGGAAGCATACCAGGCATGAGTCAGGTCCTAAAAGTCCTTGACATGCTTCTGTGTCACTGTTCTAGAGATACGAGCAGATTTAAACTCTGTTCCATCAAAAACCTCCTTGAACAATCATAGTCCTAAACAACCAGGGGAGGCTACTCTAAATGCTGATTCCCTGCCACTGACAGCTGTTAAAATCTGGCCATGATAGCACACTGGACAGTTTACTTGTACTCCAGTCATTGGCTGCCACTGACAGCTGTTAAAATCTGGCCATGATAGCACTGGACATATTACTTGTACTCCAGTCATTGGCTGCCACAGACAGCTGTTATAATCTGGCCATGATAGCACACTGGACATATTACTTGTACTCCAGTCATTGGCTGCCACAGACAGCTGTTAAAATCTGGCCATGATAGCACACTGGACATATTACTTGTACTCCAGTCATTGGCTGCCACTGACAGCTGTTAAAATCTGGCCATGATAGCACTGGACATATTTCTTGTACTCCAGTCATTGGCTGCCACTGACAGCTGTTAAAATCTGGCCATGATAGCACGCTGGACATATTACTTGTACTCCAGTCATTGGCTGCCACTGACAGCTGTTAAAATCTGGCCATGATAGCACTGGACATATTACTTGTACTCCAGTCATTGGCTGCCACTGACAGCTGTTAAAATCTGGCCATGATAGCAACTAGACAGTTTACTTGTACTCCAGTCATTGGCTGCCACAGACAGCTGTTAAAATCTGGCCATGATAGCTAACTGGACATATTACTTGTACTCCAGTCATTGGCTGCCACTGACAGCTGTTAAAATCTGGCCATGATTGCACACTGGACATATTACTTGTACTCCAGTCATTGGCTACCACTGACAGCTGTTAAAATCTGGCCATGATTGCACACTGGACATATTACTTGTACTCCAGTCATTGGCTACCACAGACAGCTGTTAAAATCTGGCCATGATAGCACTGGACATATTACTTGTACTCCAGTCATTGGCTGCCGCTGACAGCTGTTAAAATCTGGCCATGATAGCACTGGACATATTACTTGTACTCCAGTCATTGGCTGCCACAGACAGCTGTTATAATCTGGCCATGATAGCACACTGGACAGTTTACTTGTACTCCAGTCATTGGCTGCCACAGACAGCTGTTAAAATCTGGCCATGATAGCACACTGGACATATTACTTGTACTCCAGTCATTGGCTGCCACAGACAGCTGTTATAATCTGGCCATGATAGCACACTGGACATATTACTTGTACTCCAGTCATTGGCTGCCACAGACCATGCTGACCAAAGGCTGCCTACAGCCTGCACGGCTACAGTGGGACGTGTATACTACAGCTTGTGGCCATATTACTGCATACTGGCAGTGAGTGGTGTATCACAGCTATGTATCTGTAGTCTGGCAATCCGGTAACTTGTGTTATTATACACTGTTTGAGAGGCATTTTGTAAGTAAAAGGAATGACAAGTATGGATGATCAACTTCTTTATTGTGCAATAGCGACGTTTCGGTATAGATATTTTCAACGTTTTCAAGCATGAAAAACATCTATTCTGAAACGTCACTATTGTACAATAAAGAAGTTGATCATCCATAGACACTTGTCATTCCTTTTACTTATCATTGATCATAGGCTACTGGTAATATGCATACTATTAGTTCACAGTGTTTTGAAAGGGTGTACGGGACCGCACACCATTTCAAGACACTGTGTGACAAATTTATTACCCTTAAGATCTTTTTATTTAGCTCATCTTTAAACAACAACATTCAGTCATCGGCAGAATGAGACGTGAAACGTTTCGCCATGATTTTTCCCGAACAATCATAAAGGGAGATAACTTAGGATAGCTTAGTTTATGATAAACTTATCGAATTTGAGGTTTTGTTAAACGACAAGTTAAATACAGAAACAGTTTATTTTTTGGATATATTTATTGAAACAAATAAGAAATTTTGACAACAATTTTATTACTCTGTTTTTGCTCATAATTATGTACGCCAACTCTAAAATTTCGAAGCAATCAGCCGTTTGGCAGCTACATTCCATCTAAGGTCAAGGTCATTCGTACAACCCGTGTAATGGGTCACATGACAGAGTTGATGGGGTGTATGGTTCGTACACCCTGGCAAATCCGCCTACATGGCTTGGTATGCTTTGACCATTGACCAATCAGAATTCGACAAATATATCTTAAGGGTAACAAATACAGGTAATATGAATACAGATTATGTATTGAGGTAATATACATACAGGTAATCTACATACAGATTATATATTGAGGTAATATACATACAGGTAATCTGCATACAGATTATATATTGAGGTAACATACATAGAGGTAATCTGCATACAGATTATATATTGAGGTAATATACATAGAGGTAATCTGCATACAGATTATATATTGAGGTAACATACATAGAGGTAATCTGCATACAGATTATATATTGAGGTAATATACATGGAGGTAATCTGCATACAGATTATATATTGAGGTAATATACATAGAGGTAATCTGCATACAGATTATATATTGAGGTAATGTACATAGAGGTAATCTGCATACAGATTATATATTGAGGTAATATACATATAGGTAATCTGCATACAGATTATATATTGAGATAATATACATACAGGTAATCTGCATACAGATTATATATTGAGGTAATGTACATAGAGGTAATCTGCATACAGATTATATATTGAGGTAATATACATATAGGTAATCTGCATACAGATTATATATTGAGATAATATACATAGGGGTAATCTGCATACAGATTATATATTGAGGTAACATACATAGAGGTAATCTGCATACAGATTATATATTGAGGTAATATACATAGTGGTAACCTGCATACAGATTATATATTGAGGTAATATACATATAGGTAATTTGCATACAGATTATATATTGAGGTTATATACATAGAGGTAATCTGCATACAGATTATATATTGAGGTTATATACATAGAGGTAATCTGCATACAGATTATATATTGAGGTAATGTACATAGAGGTAATCTGCATACAGATTATATATTGAGGAAATATACATACAAGGAAGTATACATGCAGGTAATACCATTTTGTACAAATTAGAACAACTTCCCATTTTACCTGTCAAGTTGACTTGGTTTTCAATGACCCATACTTACCCATTGCTGCTAATCCCCTCTGTTGCAGGATGCCCAGGCTTGCTGTCAGGTAGAAAACAGAGGGCACCTGTCTGTTCTGTTGTTGTGTTGTGGTCCGCAGGCCACACTTGATTGTTAGTGGAGGTGTTGTGATTCTGAGAAACTGCAGTAGGCTGGAAATGTCACACTAGGAATATTTGTCTACTTGTATTACTTCTTACAGTTTATTTGAAATGATTGATAGAACTAAGGCACTGTTGGAAAGAATTCATTGCATGAAGGTGGCTGTGATGTGAGAGAACAAGCATACCATTCAGGGGAAATTGTTGAAATAGAGTTTAGCTAAAAGAAATGTAACTACAACATTTGATGATATGATTTTCATGAAAAAACACACCCCTTTGTTGCAAATCTGTCATCTTTTTGGAGGATGTAGGATTTAAGAAAATATTAATTGAGTGTTCCCTTGCCATTACATAATACAGTGTACAATTGGTCCTATGTAATCTGATTATGACAACATGGTGTGTGACTTCCAACTATCCAAGTTTGACACTGAATCACAACATGTCAACTTCTGTCTGTAACACTGTACAAGGACACTGGGATGTAGAACACTGTACAAGGACACTGGGATGTAGAACAGTACAAGGACACTGATGTAGAACACTGTACAAGGACACTGATGTAGAACACAGTACAAGGACACTGATTTAGAACACAGTACAAGGACACTGATGTAGAACACTGTACAATGACACTAGGACGTAGAACACAGTACAAGGACACTGGGATGTAAAACACTGTACAAGGACACTGATGTAGAACACTGTACAAGGACACTGGGATGTAGAACACTGTACAGGGACACTGATGTAGAACACAGTACAAGGACACTGGGATGTAGAACACTGTACAAGGACACTGATGTAGAACACTGTACAAGGACACTGGGATGTAGAACACTGTACAAGGACACTGATGTAGAACACAGTACAAGGACACTGATGTAGAACACAGTACAAGGACACTGATGTAGAACACTGTACAAGGACACTGGACAGGATGTAGAACACAGTACAAGGACACTGATGTAGAACACTGTACAAGGACACTGATGTAGAACACAGTACAAGGACACTGGGATGTAGAACGAACACTGTACACAGTACAAGACACTGATGTAGAACACAGTACAAGGACACTGATGTAGAACACAGTGGGATGTGTGTAGAACACTGTACAAGGACACTGGGATGATAGAACACAGTACAAGGACACTGAACACTGTACAAGGACACTGATGTAGAACACAGTACAAGGACACTGGGATGTAACACTGTACATGGACACTGATGAGAACACTGTACAAGGACACTGGGATGTAGAACACTGTACAGGGACACTGATGTAGAACACAGTACAAGGACACTGATGTAGAACACTGTACAAGGACACTAGGATGTAGAACACAGTACAAGGACACTGATGTAGAACACTGTACAAGGACACTGATGTAGAACACAGTACAATGACACCGATGTAGAACACTGTACAAGGACACTGATGTAGAACACAGTACAAGGACACTGATGTAGAACACTGTACAAGGACACTGGGATGTAGAACACAGTACAAGGACACTGGGATGTAGAACACAGTACAAGGACACTGATGTAGAACACAGTACAAGGACACTGGGATGTAGAACACAGTACAAGGACACTGTGTAGAACACAGTACAAGGACACTGATGTGATGAACACACAGTACAAGGACACTGATGTAGATGTACAAGGACACTGATACAAGGACACTGATGTAGAACACAGTACAAGTACAAGGACACTGATGTAGAACACTGTACAAGTACATGTAGAACACAGTACAAGGACACTGGAACACTGGGATGTAGAACACAGGACACTGGGATGTAGAACACTGTACAAGGACACTGGGATGTAGAACACAGTACAAGGACACTGGGATGTAGAACACAGTACAAGGACACTGGGATGTAGAACACTGTACAAGGACACTGGGATGTAGAACACTGTACAAGGACACTGGGATGTAGAACACTGTACAAGGACACTGGGATGTAGAACACTGTACAAGGACACTGGGATGTAGAACACTGTACAAGGACACTGGGATGTAGAACACTGTACAAGGACACTGGGATGTAGAACACAAGGACACTGGGATGTAGAACAGGTACAAGGACACTGGGATGTAGAACACACAGTACAAGGACACTGGGATGTAGAACACTGAGAAACACTGTACAAGGACACTGGGATGTAGAACACTGTACAAGGACACTGGGATGTAGAACACTGTACAAGGACACTGTAGAACACTGTTCAGCAAAAACACCTACAGCAGTGGCAGTGGAGACCAGGGTGCCGTTGTATAAAGCGATCTTAGCGCTAAGGTGACCGTAACTCCCATACTTTAACATAGACTTAAGGTAGCCTTAGCGCTAAGGTTGTTTTGTACAACGGCACCCAAGGCCATACTGGTTGTATCTTTACAGTTGTTAACCAACATGTGACAAGTAACAGATGCTCTTTCTAATCTTATTTGTACAAGCTCCTTGTACACAACACAGATGCACCTTCTACACATAAAGAGTGGATTTCTCTTAATTCTTTGCATAATAGAAACACACATACTGTTTTCAGTTTTACTTCTGTTCACTGTTTCATTACCACTGTTGAACTTTATTATTTTTTTGTGTTTTCATGCAAATAATCAGAATTCAAAAGATTGTCTAATGCACAGTAAACTTGACAACGGGTATTGATAAATTGTTAGCTCTTTCATCATACCCCAGTCCAGTAGTCCTTGTGTGTCTTTGTGTTGCAGAGGATGGGGTGTATTGAGTTGTCGGGGCCTCACCTGGGCTTCTCTGTGTGTGTTGCAGGGGATTGGGGTGTATTGAGTTTTCTGGGCCTCACCTCGGCCTCACCTGGGCTTCTCTGTGTGTGTTGCAGGGGATGGGGTATATTGATTTGTCTGGGACTCACCTGGGCTTCTCTGTGTGTGTTGCAGGTGATTGGGGTGTATTGAGTTGTCTTGGCCTCACCTGGGCCTCACCTGGGGTGATCCCTTTTGTGTGTTGCAGGGGATGGGGTATATTGAGTTGTCTGGGCCTCACCTGGGCTGATCCCTTTTGTGTGTTGCAGGGGATTGGGGTGTATTGAGTTGTCTTGGCCTCACCTCGGCCTCACCTGGGCTTCTCTGTGTGTGTTGCAGGGGATGGGGTGTACTGAGTTGTCAGGGCTTCACCTGGGGGCTTCTCTGTATGTGTTTCAGAGGATGGGGTGTATTGAGTGTCTGGGCCTCACCTGGGTCTCACCTGGGCTTCTCTGTGTGTGTTTCAGGGGATGGGGTGTATTGAGTTGTCTGGGCCTCACCTGGGTCTCACCTGGGCTTAGGTCTCTGTATGTGTTTTCATGCAAATAATCAGAATTCAAAAGATTGTCTAATGCACAGTAAACTTGATGGGTATTGAGTTGTTGTTAGCTCTTTTTCACCATACCCCCAGTCCAGTGGTCCTTGTGTGTCTTTGTGTTGCAGGGGATCGGGTGTATTGAGTTTTCTGGGCCTCACCTGGGCTTCTCTGTGTGTTTGCAGGGGATGGGGTGTATTGAGCTGTCTGGGTCTCACCATGGCCTCACCTGGGCTTCTCTGTGTGTGTTGCAGGAAATGGGGTGTATTGAGTTGTTTGGGCCTCACCTGGGTCTCACCTGGGCTTCTCTCTGTATGTGTTACAGGGGATGGGGTGTATTGAGTTGTCAGGGCCTCACCTGGGTCTCACCTATGTTTCACAGGGCTTCTCTGTGTGTGTTGCAGGGTGGGTAGTATTGAGTGTCTGGGCCTCACCTGGGTCTCCTCACCTGGGCTTCTCTCTATGTTTTGCAGGGGATGGGGTGTATTGAGTGTCAGGGCCTCACCTGGGTCTCACCTGGGCTTCTCTCTGTATGTTTACAGGGGATGGGGTGTATTGAGTTGTCAGGGCCTCACCTGGGCTTCTCTGTGTGTTGTTGCAGGGGATGGGGTGTATTGAGTTGTCTGGGCCTCACCTGGGTCTCACCTGGGCTTTCTCTGTATGTGTTTACAGGGGATGGGGTGTATTGAGTGTCTGGGCCTCACCTGCATCTCGGTGGGATCTCACCTCTTCTGTGTTGTGTGTGGGGATGGGGTGTATTGAGTGTCTGGGCCCCTCACCTGGGTCTCACCTGGGCTTCTCTGTGTATGTGTTGCAGAGGGATGGGTAGTATTGAGTGTCTGGGCCTCACCTGGAGTCTCACCTGGGCTTCTCTCTGTGTGTGTGTTGCAGGGGATGGGTAGTATTGAGTGTCTGGGTTGTCACCTGGGTCTCACCTGGGCTTCTCTGTATGTGTTGCAGGGGATGGGGTGTATTGAGTGTCTAGGGCCTCACCTGGGTCTCACCTGGGCTTCTCTGTGTGTGTTGCAGGGGATGGGGGTGTATTGAGTGTCTGGGCCCTCACCTGGGTCTCACCTGGGCTTCTCTCCTTGTATGTGTTGCAGGGGATGGGGTGTATTGAGTTGTCTCGGCCTCACCTGGGTCTCCACCTGGGCTTCTGTGTGTGTTGTGTTGCAGGGGATGGGGTGTATTGAGATGTCTGGGCCCCACCTGGGTCCTCACCTGGGCTTCTGTGTGTGTGTTGCAGGGGATGGGATGTATTGAGTGTCTCTGGAGCCTCACCTGGGTCTCACACTTTGCTTCTCTCTGTGTGTGTGCTTGAAGGGGATGGGGTGTATTGAGTGTCTGGGCCTCCACCTGGATCTCACCTGGCTACTTCTCTGTATGTGTTACGGGGATGGGGTGTATTGAGTTGTCTGGGCCTCACCTGCCATCTCACCTTGGTCTCACCTGGGCTTCTCTGTTTGTGTGTTACAGGGGGATGGGGTGTATTGAGTTGTCCTGGGCCCTCACCTGCATCTCACCTGGTCTCACCTGGGCTTCTGTGTGTGTGTTGCAGGGATGGGGTGTATTGAGTGTCTGGGGCCTCACCTGATCTCACCTGGGCTTCTCTG